GGATGTGGTTGGTATAAACCAATAGCTTCTGTTACTAATTATAGGCATTTAAGAATATTTGTGGAGATTTCATCGTTTATTTTGTTTAGGTTAGGTTTCTACTGTTTTATGTATATAGTTTCAAGAATTTTTACTTTTTGTTTAATGTTTTTTATGTTTAAGTATAGTTGCGTTTTCAACGAGTATTTTCTAGAATTGTGTATGCGGCCAGGCATGTTGTTTTAAATGCCTAAAAATGTTAGATATACATATATGTGCACGAGGCCGAGTGGTTAGAACGTTTGTCTCCAGATCGTATTCGAATCTCACCATAGTCGAAGTGTCAAGAAGGAGACTTCCTGATGTTATCGGTCTGGAGGGGCTGATCCCAGTGTGCGGCGCCTCTGGAGAGTGCCTGAAAATAAACTTACCACGGGTTGACTCAAGCCTTATGGTTGAAATTGGGAAGATAGTGCCGTCGATAGCTGTGCATGCACGAAGTCACAAGTCATCGTTACCGAGGTTTTGAACGTGTTGTCCTTGATCACATTGTTGATCATGCTAGATAAACATTCTATTTCCCAGACACTGTAACTCGGGTCTGCTCAGTATAGCCGCAGTATAAAGCACCTTTGGGATCTGTAGGTGTTGAACAACCACATATGTGCCTGAGCAAGCGTCTGCTATAGACATTGGCTGGCGGCCCTAATAGAGGGTATCCGCGAATCTCTCTCTATCTCTATCTCTCTCTATCTCTCTCTCTCTCTCTCTCTCTCTCTCTCTATATATATATATATATATATGTATATCTGTGTGTGTGTATTAGAATGTGCAACTTATATTTTATATCATAAAGAAACAATTTATACAAAGAATTAAATCGCTTTGTTAATGTGATTAATGGCGAAATCACTTCGCTGACAAAACTTAATGAGACATTAACTTAATATCAATTCCTTGAATAATAAGATCCTTATATTCGAATTGTTATCAGATGAAAGGCACATGCCAAGTACGTTAATTTACACATACTCTACTAATTGGATTGTGCTAAGTCCATTTCACTTAAACCGATAAATACATTTCGTGTATTTATATCTTTTGAAAATACAAACAAAATTCTTACTTGATCGTCATATTATCGCACGCTCTAAAACATATATTCAACTGTCAATAAATAAAATAATTGAAAAAAAAACGTGTTTGGGTCTTCACATATTTCTTCTTAGTGTTTGCCTATGAATGGGAAAATTGCACCCTGAAGATGAAAATTTGAAATTGTCGAAAGTATTTGGTATGTGTCTTCCATCTGAAAACCACTCTAATATAAGGATCTTGTTATTCAAGGAATTGATAGTAAGTTAATACCTCATTAATATCTATTAGTGAAGTGATTTTGCCTTTAATCACTTTAATATTGCTATTTAATTCTTTGTATAAATTGTTTCTTTATGATATATATATATTTTTTTTATTGTACATTTTTCTGTGTTAATTTTAAATTAAATCTCCCGTTCCGTTGAAGCCTGAAGAGCGGGAGCGAAACCGGTTGCTTCGCCCATTTTTAATATGTCTCGTAATATTAAGTTTTATACTTTTATTTCGATCATTAAATTTTTTACATACAAAAATATCTTTAAATATATATATATATATATATATATATATATGAAGAAATTTTGAAAAAACAAACAAAAATCCTTAAATGTAGTTAAATGAAAGAAATGTCGACGTCTGACGTTTCGGTTTATTAAACCTTTTTCAAGACAATATTCATCAAAATACAATTCAGTTCAATATGACAAATACGATGGACATAAAAACACAAGTCTTATTCAGAACAGATAACTGAAAATTTTTAAAATGATCAGCCTTCCGTCTAACATGGTCACGCTGTCGTCACATGGGCGACGCTTTCATAACGTATTCCTAAAAGTTTGTGATTATTTTGAAATGAAAAAGAAAAAGAAAATGAAACGTCGACATTTCTTTCATTTAACTACATTTAAGGATTTTTGTTTGTTTTTTCAAAATTTCTTCATTCTGTCGGATTTATATCCATTTACACTTGCTTATATATATATATATATATATATATATATATATATATATATATATGTGTGTGTGTGTGCGTGTGTTTAATCGCCTGATGATCGCAAAAGTATGAAACTTAAGTAGCGACACAATGAGTATTAACGCTATTATACGCTTTGTGCTGGATAATATAGGCATTCTTATTTTCTTCTTATGCATGTGTTGACAATGTCTTTTCTTCTTCTTAAGTGGTTGAAATTTTCTCTTTTCTCGGGTTTTCTTTATTATTAATCTTTCAGTTTTATGTCAGTTGTAAGGTAGTCTGCTGCTTGCACCAATACTTTTGATTTCTGCAGTACCCCCCCCACACACACACATATATATATATATATGTGTGTGTGGAGAAACGATATATTATTTCTCATATATCAAGAACAATAGTAGGGAGATTCACACCCTGGTTCTTTTTAATTTTAGATTTAAGTCCAGGTTTCTTCACCATTTGTATAAACGTACCAATGCTTAGATTCATAGATTCATACACGATATTAACAGAAAATAAGAGCGCTAATTATAGTAAATTTAAAGATAAAGTACCTCAAATTCTCAAATTCAATAAAGCATCAGATTACTAGAAAATTTTCAAATTTTGTTTTCTGGGTAGTTAAATAATTATATAAAATAGGAACACACGTTCTATTCAAGTAATAAGTATGAATATATCTCCGTAGTTAAATTTTCCAAACATGAAGCTGTCAACAAATGTTTTTCTTGGATATTTTAAATTAAAAGTAATTTGCTGTAGAGTAGCTAGAAAGCCTTCAGCACTCTACCAGATGGCCTGTCTTATAGGCTTAAATAGTCTACGATTAAGGACTTCAACATTTGATGAATAAGTTGATACTAAGCTGATTAATATTCGGGCTGATCTTACTTCGTTTGGCTATACAGCATTTGACCCTCATTTATTCGTTTTAAGTTGTCTTGTTAATTGTTTTGTAACTTATTGTTCTGTGTTTTTTTTTCTATGTATCCGTTAGCACCGGATTCTGGTTCTGAATAAATATACTAAGCATGAATTCTTCTCAATGCATCATTCACCTCGACGATACAAGATTATTCATATTTGTTTGAAATCAAACTGATTAAGCTTTACATCAGCTAATCTTCCTCAAATGCAGTTTCAGAAAAATATATTTTATTTTTGAAAGATTATTTAATAAAGAGAATTATGTTGTGCTGAGAGATTTAAAAAACATTCTAATTAACGTAAATTCGTTTTGAAACACAGCAAAGTTTTTTGCAATTTGGAGATATTAAATTTAATCTATAAGCTTGTGATTAAAAATAAAATAAAAGCTTCAAGATAGATTTTTCATTTTAAAAAAATTATCCTTACTATCGATTTTCTTTACAGGTATACACACACATACATCACACACATACACACACATACATATATATGAAATATATATATATATATATATATATATATATATATATATATATATATGTGTGTGTGTGTGTGTGTGTGTGTGTGTCGTGTGTGTCAAAAATAAGAAAAGAACAGTTAGATTTATAATCCAAAGTTTTCAGCATTTATTTTTAAAAAATACACAATGGAGCATTATATTATAATTTTCTTTTTAAAAATGTTTCCATCGTGACACAGAAATAAAACCTTTAAATTTCAAGTTTCGTTCTATTTTCAAGCGATGGTGATGATGGTGATGTTTATTGTAAGCATCGTTTTAAAATGGAAGGAAACTTCAAATTTTAAGTTTAATTTTAATTTAAGATTTAAGTTTTCGTTTTGAAACAGTAATTTCACTATCGCGATGGAAATTTATATATATATATATATATATATATATATATATATAATGAAAAACAGACCACTTTAAGGTACCATTACAATAATTTATTTCACCAAACTCCTTTTTAAAGGACTCCGGATCATCAGGTAACAATTCCAACAACGAAATGAAAGGAAAAATGGGATTAGAAATTGATGGGTAGTGTAATTTTTGTATTTTAACAGGGTGGGGTGAGAGTTGTAGTTAAAGAGACAAGGTAGAGTATAGGGAGGGTTAATTTAATATCTCTCTTAAGCATGCTTTATATTGGGGTAGGAGGAGTGACCGAACCTTCACCTATTTAGATGGTTAACTTAACGAAAATGATATATAGGAATGAGAGGGGAGTGGGGAGAAAAGAAAAGGAAAAATGGAAAAGAGAGAGGAGACAGACGACAGTAATACAGATATATCCAAATGAGTGTTACGGCAAAGAGAGAGGGGGAGAGGGAAATGAATCGAAAGAGGCTGTAATTTTATTTTAACAAAATTATGTAAAAGATAGATTTCAATGCTTGATAGAAATTTAGATGTCTAAAAAATGATGAATGTTATCAATTTAAACATTTAATTTTTTAAGTAAATAGTTTAGGGACTTAAATAGTTTAGTTGACTACTATTTTTATTAGCACATTTATCGAGAACATATTAAAGAAATATTTAAAATTATAATAGTTTATTTACCCGACAAATTGTACTTCCATAATATTGTAAAAAAATTTCGGTAACAATAACATCTATATTAGTTTTACTTTTAATCTAATTTCTGAATGCAATTTTTCTTTATTATTATATGGGTAAACTTAATTAAGGTTTAGGTTTCATTATTTAATAATATTTGAGGGTAATATTAAGGATTTTGTTTTCTTCTTATATGTATCTCACAAACATATTCATGCACATCCATATATACATACGTTTATTTACATGTGCAAATATATATATATATATATATATATATATATATACAAAATATGTTAAATGCCAGGAAAAATTATCTTACCAACAATCGGGCGTATAAGAAAGTGCTCAATGCCAGAGCTTAGAAAAACAGACATGCAGAATAGCTAATACAAAAAGAAAGAACTAAAATATCGGATACTGCCGCACGCTACCGTGTTTTCTCATTAGACTTAACCCTACAGCCAACGTTGTCCACGCAGTTCGCAGAGAGAATTTTCGTATTCGAAGCGTTAATTCTCTCTGCGAACTACCCCATACCTGATCGAGTGGCTGTAACCCTTGATGGTGAAGCTTGTGGAACAGGTCGAAAGCTTCAAATATCTTGGCGCCAATTTTACAGCCACTGGTCAAGCGAAGGACGAAATCACCACCTGTATAAATTTGGCTAGAGCTACGTTTGTCCGTCTTCAAAAATGACTTTGGTCTCGCCAGGAGATAAGACGACCCACGAAGTTGCAAATCTACGAAGCCATGGTCAGAACGATTCTTCTCTATGGTTGTTAGACCTGGCCACTGCGCAGAGAGGATCTTCATAAGCTTGAGGTCTTCGATCACTACTGCCTCCGCCGTATCCTGCGCGTGCGCCTCTCCGACCGGATCCCCCCAACTCGTCCATCCGCGCCAGATGCAACATTCTGGGCCTGGAAGAAACTCTGCTTAACAGGAGACTCCGGTGGTTCGGCCACGTGTTGCGGCGGCCTGGTGATGAGTTCGTCCGTAAACTGGTGGCGCCAAACGCACCCACTGGTTGGAGGAAGCGCCGAGGTGGTCAACTGAAGACGTGGCTTGCAACGGTCAAAGCAGATATGGAAATCATGTCCGGTCCTCGCGTTTTCGGGGTCCGACGCTGGAATCGCGAATGGCGCGATCATGCCGTCGATTCTGCTGCCGATCGACGGGGGTGGATGGCCTTGACGCGCGATGCGCTTAATTCATTTGGTGCCGGCTCAACCCAAGACAAGAGAAAAGACAACGTTGTCCATCAGTCTATCGCAGAAATTGACGGCGGCTTACCGCGGGAATACATCTAAGTCAATCCTGAATCAAAAGGAGACATGGTCGACCAAGTGTGTTCCAGGCAATTAAGTAATGTGAAAATAAACTAAAATCTATGGAGGGTTATGGTTGCCTATTTCGTGAAAAAGTTACTTATAATGCCAAAAAGGTTACCTATATTACAAAAAAGTTACCTATACTACAAAAATCCACGCTACTTTGTGCACCGAAAGATTTATCAGTTATATTGTGTCGTTACTGTACACATTACTAACATAAACACTAACTTGAATAACCTCTCTGTAGGTACATAACACAAACAATGGTATTAAAGGATTAGAAAGGGCATTTCAATTTAGAGAAGCACGAAAACCAAATAGTCTTGTTGATATTAATTTTTCTTGCATTTGTATATGTATTTTCTTTTCCGCACATAAAGTATGTACAAATTGTCCAAATGCTCTATACGTTCGAGCGCTTCTGGCTATTAGCCTTTATCAAGGATTTTTAAAACCTGAATATGTCGATTTTTATATATGTGTATCTATAATGATGGGAAGGTCTGCTTTTTTAATAATGGAAACACTAATCAAAAATAAAAGAAAAAAGCAATACTCAATAATATCCAATATGAACGAGGCCACAAATTGTTGACCATGCTTGGAAATTAAAAAAAAAAGAATTAATTAAGACAAAAGATAAAATAAATAAATTAAATAACTGGAAAAATCCTCACTGGGATTACATAAGAGAAACAACACTTCTATGTGTTTCGAAAAGGCTGTTGTAAGCCTACATATTCATGATGTACATTCTTTAAACGAATGTGGCTAAAGATGGCTTTAAATGGTTAGAAATTAGGATACAATTTTAGAGAAGCTCGTCTTGCCGAGTTTAAAGATGACCTGTTTTGTCTGACCTTGACTGGAATGGTTGTGTTACATTTGAAGAATTTGTTCAAAAACTGAATTCTTACCATTTTTACCGTTATCTGCGACATCAGGGAGATGTGCCTACACTTGGAAAATAGATTCTATATGATTTGAAGGAAGCCAACCGTACAGAAAGATTGGACACGTGCACTTCCCTGTCCTCGCGTGAACACATCTCGCTATGATTTGACAGGTTATTGATGGAAAAATCAATATTTTGTTTGAATATAAGGGGACGCAGACAATGTATTAATGGAAGCGAACAGGCTAAAGCACTATCCAAAATCCGTTCCAAGGAAGATTTGGCAACAGTTTCGTGAGACTGTGTTTCTGCTGTAAGTTTTCAGTTGCTACGAGGCAATATTGATATTAAAACAGATATTGTCAGCAGCTACGGCTTTTTAAGACGTCTTCAAGTCCCAGATGGATCAGTCACAAAGGTTTGCTGTTCAATTATAGCAAGACATGGTTCTTATAGAATAGGAATCGTGCAGGAAAAGACTGAAGGATTCGATTGCGAACAGACATGCACGCCTTTCTTATTCTCCAAGTAAGGCTGCGGCTATTTCACTGTTAACAGATCGATGTTGACAGACGAGGTTGGGAAACACAAGAGACACGACGCTCCTACCATTCCCCTCATTCCACACTGAAACAGGTTACAAAGTTTATACTGTATTTAAATACTTCTATCTCGTTGAAACTTTATACTGTATTGTCGTGTTTTCAAAGATTATATTGTATTTAAATACTTCTATCTTGTTGAAACTTTGTACTGTATTGTCGTGTTTTCAAAGTTTATATTGTATCTAAATACTTCTATCTCGTTGAAACTTTATACTATATTGTCGTGTTTTCAAAAATTCTATTGTATTTAAATACTTCTATCTTGTTGAAACTTTGTACTGTATTGTCGTGTTTTCTAAGATTATATTGTATTTAAATACTTCTATCTTGTTGAAACTTTGTACTGTATTGTCGTGTTTTCAAAGTTTATATTGTATCTAAATACTTCTATCTCGTTGAAACTTTGTATTGCATTGTGTTTTCAAAGTTTACATTGTATCTAAATACTTCTACCTCGTGAAAACTTTGTATTGTATTGACGTGTTTTCAAAGACTATATTGTATTTAAAGACTTCTTGAAACTACTGTATTGTGTTTTCATCTTGCTGAAAGATATCATTGTATTTAAATGTTTGTGTCTTTTTAAAGACTGAATTATATTTAAAGGTTGTTTTCGTTCTGTTGAACGATTCCATTATATTTAAATGATGGTATTTTGCTAAAATACTGTATTGTATTTAAATGCTTGTTTCTTGTTCATGGAGTTTAACGTATTGTCATGTTTTATTTTGTTGAAAGATTGTTTGCATTTAAATGTTTGTATATTGTTAAAAGATTGAATTATATTTAAATGGTTCTGTCATGCTTAGCGATTGTACTCTATTCTAATGCGCCACTTTTTGAGAGAAGACAAGTGGTAAGTATGTACAATAAATTCAAACTATATATATATATATATATATATATAAAGAAATATAGTCTTAAGGTGTGCTATATTTATGCAATAAAGTGCTCAATATCAGAGATAGAGCGTGTGTAAATATAAAAGTGAACATAGAAGTCAACACTTAGAGGCAACAGTCTGTTTCATGCTATATGCAATCGTCAGGCCACATATGCTGTTATTTTTCTCGGCTATTTATATATATACGGGTTAGTGGTGCATTGTGGGTATTCTATTATGGCGGTTATTTTACTGGAAACCGAAAAGAGAAAATATACAAGTAAAATAAATTGACCTAAATTCATCCAAGTAAATAAATAGACAAACTAATCCCAAATTAAAAACTGTTCCCGCCAAAATAATAATTAGAATGAACTACAAAAACCAACCCCAAAATTGAACAAATAGCTTTAATTAAATTCTCAAACCAAAAGAAACTGTTAAATAAGTGATATAAACAATTTTTTACTACGTTAATAAATAAATAAATAAATAAAATATGAAACAAAAATAAAAACGAGCAATATAATTTGACCCAAATAAATAAATAAACGACCACCAGTAAAATAACCGCCATAATAGAATACCCACAATGCACCATTAACCCGTATATATATAAATAGCCGAGAAAAATAACAGCATATGTGGCCTGACGATTGCATATAGCATGAAACAGACTGTCCCCTCTAAGTATTGACTTCTATGTTCACTTTTATATTTACACACGCTCTATCTCTGATATTGAGCACTTTATTCCATAAATATAGCACACCTTAAGACTATATTTCTTTATATATTATATATATATATATATATATATATATATATATATATATAGTAATTCGGACTTTGTTAACCAGACGCTTCTCTTTGGCTGAATGTTAAAGGCACGTCAGACTGTATGACTGTTCAGATACGGGATAAAGTTTCGATTTCTGTCGGAAAACCGCATATTTTCTACGAAACCTCTCGAAAATTCAAGCCGGTAAATTTAATTAGTACTGTTTAATTAAAAACTGAATATTTACTTAAAAAATGTATATGTATAAATTATATGTATAAACATAACATACAAACAGATATATATATATATCAAAGAATAAACTTAACACATTTTCGAAAGATCAGGTAATACATGTATTTCAGGCATTAAATTTTTAATACCTGCAACGCATGACACACCTAGCTGGCGTAAGGAAGTGGATGACAGAACGTGGTCTGTGGGTGAAGCAGAGGGAAGGAACTCGTTGCAAGCTGCCAGAAATTGAGGGAAGTGGAGAGCCATAATCGTCTACGCCTGAAAGGACATGGAACATGGTAATTTTTCATTGATGCATGTTTCCTTACATACTATAGACAAGTTGTTAGAGTTATCATTCAACATTTTTAGGCATTTAAAACAACATGCCTGGCCGCATACACAATGCCGGAAAATCCTTGTTGAAAATACAACTATACTTAAACATGAAAACAATAAACAAAAACTAAAAATTCTTGAAGCTATATACACAAAACAGTTGAAACATAACCTGAACAAAATTAACTATGAAATCTCCACAAACATTCTTAAATGTCTATAATTGGTAACAGAAGCCATTGGTTTATACCAACGGCTTCCCATACTTAACACTTCTCGTTTTCACTCTCGCGTGGTCATATGTGACGTCACGAGCTGTGATGTGATTTTCGCATCAGCGTCTCGTATACACGAGTTTATCGCTGCTTTGAAATTTTTCACGTAACAAAAACAGACTATCATTATTGTTTCGTCCGTGTATTATTTGATATATTGTAACGTAATTGTCATCTTTGAAAATGGCTTATGTAATCCGAAAGCTTAGATCGGATTTAAACATGTATCAATACGGTGATTTCTTTTCGTCTTTCAATGATAATGTTATTAATCTTATCAGACAATATGAAAGAAACTTACTTAAAATAAACACGACTTGTCTATATTATTTAACGAAAATGCATCATATATATATATATATATATATATATATATATATATATATATATATATATATATATATATATATATATAGCCTCGTAGCTGGTTAAATGTAACTATCATATAGTTGGCCGATAAAATGTAGAGCCTATAAAATGTAAAAAATCTGCAAAAGAATATAACTTTATAAAAGTCGAAATTCCTCAAGCATTCGGCAAGTTATTTTGGAATTTGTAGTTGAAACTAGGTAAATGGTTCGAAATATATAGAACATTATCTTCGTTTTTCTTACTATACCTGCAGTATGTATATATATATATATATATATATGTGTGTGTGTTTTTTGCGGGTAATAATTGAGGGGCAGTGTAGGGATTTTCCAGGTGTAGCTTGGATGTGGCACAAGGCCGAAAGTAAGGGGCACCCACTGAGGATCGAACTCACTACTCCTTCGTAATAGTTCCAGCGAGACAAGCTTGCTAACCATTACACCATCTCGAGGTGCCCAAATTGAGGGGCAGTGTACAAAATAATGATGATCACTCTTGTGCCGTGCTAATCTGGTTCCGTTGACGCGTACTGATATTACTATGGAAGAGGGTTTGCTACATATATCTTCAAGAATGGTTTGTTCATTTTTAGAAATAATGATGTCCCACCCGGTGCCGTGCTAAATTGCTTCTTTTGAGGGTTACTGATATCACTTATCTTATAGTGATATCAGTACGGCACATATATCTTCAAGAAAACGTTGTTCAATTTTTTAGAAATTTATTTTAAACTTTAAGAATTACAATTAAAAAGAAGAGGTGGAGGAACAATTCCTGGAATAAATCATTAGTTATCGAAAGAATTTTTTTTTTTTATTCGCATTACTTCTTCACTTGTATTATTTATGATATCAATTAAAAGTTTATACAATGAAATAATTTGATAGTTTTAATGCAGTTTTACCTTACGTTTCAGAGTATATTTTGTAGAATTTAAGAAAAAATAAATTAAAAAAAATATCTGATGATGCATTTCTCTTAATAGGACGAAAAATAAGCAGACTCTGAAATTGAAGATTGAATCTACGGACTAACCAGTTATTACTCAGACCTTCCAAAGTTGACACAAAATATTGTGCTTTGGGAACTTTTGCAGCAAACATAATTTTGGTTGTAAATATGTAACGTTTATGAGAATAATATACAGATATCTCTTATTTGGTGTTTAGCGAACTATTTTAAATTACAATATTGTAATTGGGGAAATCGAAAATTATTTACAATATAATACATATTATTTATAAGACATTCCTCCTGGCACTCAATTTTGACGGCGCGGTAGGTACACTAATTATATTACTACTACTACTACTACTAATACTACTACTACCACTACTACTACTACTACTAATAATAATAATAATGATTCCATATATATATATATATATATATATTTCATATATAGATATATATGTGTGTATATGTATGTATATATATATATATATATATACATATGTATAAATATACATATATATATATACACACACACACACACATATATATATATATATATATATGTATATATATATGTTGGGGCGCACCCACCTTCTGACTGATAATGGACTTATCCCTCTACGATATAAGTCAGTGCTAGAGAGTGTGAAGGTGTAGTGTGAAAGTGTTGTGTGAAGGTTCAGGTTCAGCGACAGCAGTCGAGATCAGGTTACCATTACATACCGTTGGACTGTAGACTTTTGCTATTGTTACTTACTAACCGGCGTTCCTTATTACTAATCACTCTTACAAATATACCAGTATTTATCCCTACAACTGTGTTTGTCTTTATTCGAATACACACACGCGGGGAACACTCCCAACAACTCAACAATATATATATATATATATATATATATATTAAAATTCCAAAATTTCGATTTAAATATTAATTTTATCAATTTTAATTGATTCTCTAATTTTATTTCAAATCTCATATGATCTAAGAAGGAAAGAGTTAGGTTAGAAAGCAAACATTCTCAAAATGGTAATGATAATATAAGTTTCCTTATGAGGAAACATTCACCATTTATTGACCGAACAGCCAGTGCTACTTGCAGTTGTAATATATAAAATCCTTCATTTAAAACGATTTTGCAACGATTTAAGTTTCTCAATTCCAATAGCTTTTATTACATTTTTTTTTGTTGTATTAATTGTGGTTTCCTACCTAACCTTTTATTTAATGTACTGTGGAACGTCAACATTTTTATTATGCCATTATTTTCGTTTCGAGTAACATATGCTGTCTGTTTTAGTTGTTGCAGTTGTTGAAACTCCTCACGTGACATAGTTTCTGATATTTCGCTCGGTTCTATGTTCTTATAACAGAAGTCCATAAGGATATCCCTCGCTAAGACATACAGTGTACGTTCGTTCGAAGCCTTTTTTTTTTAACAATTGATCTGAGAAACTTGTTTACAACTGAGGGTTTGGATATTTATTAACGAGTTTGGCGCCATGCAGGACTTGTATACGAAGATCCTGAGGTTTTTGACAACTTGCATGGAATACTACTGCCATATATGGTCTGGTGCTCCCGCTGTCCATCTCAAGGTCCTAAACAAAATCCAGAGAAGGATATGCAATAGAACTGACCCTGACCTGTCATCCCGTCTGCAGTTGCTATCTCACAGACGTGCTGTGGCTTCACTCTGTTTTTTTTCTACAAGTACTTTCATGGCAAATGCTCCGACGAGCTACTTTCACTGGTTCCCAAATTGCAGAATTGAAGCGCGCTACTAGATTGACATCTCGGTCCCACCCTTTCATTGTCAAAACGACTAAATGTAGCTTGATTCCCTGATAGCTATAATTTTCAAATATTCAATGGCGCAGGTTAACCTTGAACTCTGTCGCGCAAGCGCACTAGGCTATAATTTCGCTCATTTGTTTTTAGCAGTGTTTTGAAAGAAAGAGTGCAGAGTGCTGTTTTCTCTAGCAGTTTTTGGCCAAGTGCAGCATTTACCAGATTCGATAACCATTAAATTTCACCACTTACGACCTTTTTCTCTTTCCGAAAATCAAATCACACTTGAAAGGAGCAAGATTTCAAGACGTCAATGCAATCCATGTGAACACGACGAGGCAGCTGCTCGCTATCCCAAATAAGAACTTCCAGGAATTCTTCCATCAATGGAAACATGTGATAAAGTGTGTAACTTCACAAGTGGACTACTTCGAAGGAGATTAAATACCGAATTGATACGTGTTGGAGGTTTTTTTTTTTTTTTTATCGCGCCAATACTTTTTGATCAGTTCTCGTATGTGTTATTTCATTTTATTTTAAAAAAACAACAGACAAATGAAGCTAAAATGCAACGCTAGAGATCCGAGTCGAGGGAAATAATAAATTTGCAAATGAAATTTTCGAAAGTGTGACCGAGATAATTTGAACTGTGACTTATTTTCAGCGGGAAATCCAGTGTATGGAAAGCAGGCAGGCACAATAATTGTTAGGCTATGGAAGTACATATTTTGTCTATTAATCTTTGTTTATATTGGTAGAAACGATAAAAAAATATATTACCAGTATCTTAGCCTTTGTAAAGGAAGGCTTCTTTCGATTATCCAGATCTTCCAACAAGGCCTTGAGAGATTATTCAAAGATGTAGAATAGAAATAAATTTGGTGGAAGATCGAAAAAGAATTGGTTAATGGATAAATAAAGGAATTGCTCTTTCGTTATAAGTCTAATTAACAATCAGATTTTTTTTTTTTACCTTATTTTTTTTTCCTGATATTTATTTCTTTTTCAGTGATTTTCACCTTATCTATCTTGTCTTTCCTAAACATCTTTTTCTCCTTCCCACGAATTTCCTTCTTCCGTCCGAAAGTAATACCCGCCATTCTCTAATGTTGGCTGACAACTTCAGGAAAGAACGTTAGTCGTAATAAAGTAGAAGCTAGATCTGCTAACAATAACCCAAAATTTATTATTGCGTTGTTAACGACAGAATTTGGGGAATGATCTGACAAACTCGCGTCTGACATGAATATATACATACGAAGTAGACATTGAATTGCTCCATACGGGGAATATATATCTATTTATTATTGCTTATTGAATGATTAAAGAAACCAAACATTGGTTATGAGCACAGTTAAAATGTATATGAAATAGTGATTTGATTCCGATGGCGTCTGATCATCGCTAACTCATGCTCAGAAAAGGTTAGAAAATGGTGTTCAGCGATATGGTAATAACCAGGATGTTTATTGTGCTACCTTTGTTTTGGTTTTAGTAGAAAAATAGTAAACATTATTTTCGTACCTGATATCTGGTCAACTTTGAGATATATATATATATATATATATATATATATATATATATATATATATATATATATATATATATATATATATATATATATATATATATATATATATCAAAAAACAGTAAAATCTACCTTGCTGATCGAACGAGTCTCTGTGGCTCGATCGGTTAAGGCAATGACAGTTCCGTATAGGATACAGTGTTCGATTCCTGTCGGTGAACGAATATTTTCTATGGAAATTTCTCGGACATTCAGGCCAGTAAATGTTAAAATGTTATTAATACTGTTTATTATAAAACAGAGCATTTACTTAAATATACGTGTCTATAAAAAGAATGTATGAGCATAAAAAGTCTTAAAATAATTGTCATTATATATATATGTATGTATATATATATGTATATTCTGTTTAAAATAAGCGAAGAAGCAAAATTAAAATTTATTTTTTATAAATGGATCATTACCCGTAGATTGGCAGCTAACGACAGCCAGACCAGAAACTAAAGCGGATGCAAATGGTTACATAAATTATACAAACTAGACAATGTCGTTTCCTAAGAAATGAATATGGGGTGGAGAGGTAATTTAACAAAATGCTAAACAAGTTATATTCCTTATAAATTTCCTGCATAAACATTTGTTATAGTTGATGAATAAATAGCTTCTTTAAGACACTAGTAAATAATTTAAAGTTATATAATTATTTGGTAAGTTAATATGCAACTGTTGAATATTCTTCATATAAGATGTTAATAACACTAACCAATCAATGTAAAATGTCAAAAATATCAACCAAATGCCGATATATCCGTACATGATGTTCATTAAGCCATCAATATAAAATGTCATATATATATATATATATATATATATATATATATATATATATATATATTTATATATATATATATATATATATATATATATATATATATATATATATATATATATATATGAAAGTGAACACTGAAGTCAACACTTAGAAACGACAGGCTGTTTCATGATAAACGCAATTTTAACTAAATTGTAAGGTAAAAAGTAAACTATGTTTACAATTTACTGTTAATTCATTCACTAAGCCATCAATATAAAATGTCATATATATATATATATATATATATATATATATATATATATATATATATATATATAAATGAAGTGAAAGTCAACTTAGAGGCGACAGGCGATTTCATGAGAAACGTAATCGTCAGGCCACGAGTTTTCTCAGAAAAAAACTCGCGGCCTGACGATTGCGTCTAACATGAAACAGTCTGTCGAGTCTAAGTGTTGATTTCAATGTTCACGTTTATGTTTATATTTACACACGCTCTATCTCTGATATTGAGCACTTTATCCCATAAATATACGACACCTTAAAAGTATATTTCTTTATATATATATATATATATATATATATATATATATATATATATTTGTGTGTGTGTGTGTATTAATCCTTTCGTCCCAAGCAACGCAATAAAGCCACTAAGACACTTCTTTTGACAGTGTAATAAACTACCTCATGTTTTTTTTTTTTTTTATCATTTTTCCTTGTGTATATCTTGTTTTTCTTTACCTCGTATTTTATCTCACTTTTTATTGACCTTTTCTACTTTTATCCTTTCCTTCTTGTTTAATTTTTCTGTGTTTCTTTTCTTTTTAGGATTCTCGCCATTTCATCTTTTTCCTTCTTCACTCCTTTTCCTCCTTTCGCCATTGTTATTTTTGTATCTCTTATTTTCTCACTTTGTTTTTTTCTTTTTCTTCTCCTCCTTCTTCCCTTTTCACTTATTTCCTCCCACCACTTCCTTCTTTCCTTTAATCTTTGTATCATTATTTAACCTCGTTCTCATATTGCCTCCCTTCCTTTCCGTCTCATTTTATACGTTTTTTTTTTTTTTTTTTTTTTTTCGTTTGCTCTTCTTTTCTTACGTTTTGATTCATATTACTCTTTTTTTCTCTCTACTTTTCTCCCTGCTTTTCTTCTTTTCAACTTCACTTTTCTCGTTTCTTCTTTGGAATCTTTCTTCAATTTAAATCTTCCCCTCTCTCTCTCCCTCTCTCTCTGTCTTTACCCCACTCTCTCTATTTCTTTGTCCATAATTCTATTTTTTCTGTTCTTTATTCTTCTTTACTCCATTTTCTGCTTCAATTATTTTCCCCGGGCGATATTGACTCCAGTTACCTTTCTCATCAGAATTATTGTGCGCTCCCTGCTTCGTTGTTTTTGACACCGAGTAACATTCTCTTTTTTTTGCCTTATTTCATCCGAGATTGTTTGTTTTTTATACAAATACATTTTGCAAACGGCCAATACTTCTGCAGATCAGAACATCATTTTAGTTACATTTTTTTTAACTAATCGAACGTATTTTGTTTCTAATTTCTTTTATCCTGCGTTATGTCCGATTTATTGACATCAAATAATTTGCATTTATCTATCTATTTATCTATCTATCTGAATAGGTTGATAGCTAGATATTAATATTTCTTTCTCTCTGTGTCAATCCATCAATATTTTTATCTATCTATCTATCTATCTATCTATCTATCTATCTATCTATCTATCTATCTATCTATCTATCTATCTATCTATCTGTCTGTGTATGTCAATCATTTTAAATCTATCTATCTATCTATCTATCTATCTATCTATCTATCTATCTATCTATCTATCTGTCTGAACAGGTAGATAGCTAGATATTAATGTTTCTTTCTTTTTATATCAATCTATTAATATTTCTATCTATCTGAATAGGTAGATAGCTAGATATTAATGTTTCTTTCTTTCGATATCTATCTATCTATCTATCTATCTATCTATCTATCTATCTATCCAAATATGTTTATATCTATCTACTAAACTTGCTTTAGCCTGGTACTAGGCCATAATAGTTAAAATCAAAACAGTAATATTGTATTGCTGCAATATTCTAAGTGAAAAGAATTATTCAAAACACTCTCCTTTTTTGACTCAGCTCAAATACACACTCACACATGCACACGCAGGCACACACACATTTATCTATGTCCTTGAGTATTTTCTCTTTTCTTATATATTCTTTATATATGGACACTTCTCTTACTTTATTTTCTTCATCTTTTAAACTTTATCTCGTTTCTCTCTGTTTTTAAATTTGGTATTCCATCATGACATATCACTCATTAGTTCTAATCTCCACTCGAAACCTTCTTCATCAATTCCCTTGTCTTTCTTCTTCATTGTTTAAAACCATCTACCTGTCTTTCTTTCCATTCCCTCCTTTTTTCTCCCCCTTCCTTTTTTTTTCTCCGCTCGTTTGCCTTTCCCTTGACGTCAGATTGTTACCGAGTGCCCGGGCACGGGACTGGCGAAGCGGAGAATTCCTGCTGACATCCGAATTTATTTCCCACGAAAACAACAACCACTTAGTGCTTCATTCTTCGCTTCGGTCTTTCCCGCTCTTTCTATTCTCGCCTTCCCGGTCCAAGAGGCGGGAATTTACAATTATACAGGATTTAACGAAACGTAAAAATTTTGTAATGAAACCACGTATAGCCGGTTCTTAAGTATTGGGCAGGAGCGATAGAGATGGAGAAAGAGATTGTGTCGATAGATCGATTTATCGATCGACAGATGGAGAGATAGAGTAAACGTGAAGAGTGGGGGGATGGATTGCCAGAGATTGTTTTGGTTGTGTTTGACGCTTACGGAGACATTGCTTGTGGGACAAAAACAGTGCGGATCTATTTGTGGCTTTGACGATGATCAAAACCAGGGAAAGAAATTGAAACGCAAAGAAAAGATGAAGGGGAAAAAAGAGAGAAATAGAGAAAAAACAGTGAAAATAATACAAGAAAAAAAAAAGGATTTCGTAAAAAAATCATCAAATGTCAAAAGAAAAATGGAACCGAAAACAAACGGCAAAAAAAAAACCGAAAAGCATATCCAAAAAAAAAAAAAAAAAAATACATGAAGAAAGATATCGGTAAATATGAGAAAAAAAATTAGTAATCCAAAAAAAGGATTTTCAGTGTAGTCTGTCCTGACTTGGCATCTCGACATCAGTCACTGACGTGATACGGCTTCCCTTTGTCTTTTCTACAAATATTTTCATGGCAACTACTCTGACGAGCTATATTTCCTGCTGCCCGTCTACTAGGATGCCATCTAAGTCTAACCCTTTCACTGTTAAAACGCTTAAATGTAACCGCCTCTTCTACTCCAACAGCTTCTTCTGTTGCCCTTCCAGACAGTGGAACTCCCTTCCTCTTACATGCTTCCCTGATAACTATAATCTTTAAAAATTAAATGCAACGTCAATCATCTTCTTGAACCACATCCTTCTTTTTATTATTTCCACAATTCCTCTTATAACTAGTCTTTTCACTTACTTTCATTCTCTGTGACCCCCTCCATACTAGGGGCACTCCATCCTTGCTTGGAGTGAAATTATTTAAAGAAATATAGCATAGTTCGGCCTAAATTGAAATAAGAACGGGAAGGAAGATGACCGTAATGAAAATATAGATGCAGCACCGTTGTTTGCCGCCTAAAGCTCCCGGAATTGACGCAGTCACAAGACAAAAAAAAATAAATAAATAAAATGAAGCAAAAAGTAAATTATTTAATAATGGAAACAGAAGTTCGACCATGACTTATTATTTGCTTGCACGTTTTTAACAGCATAAGGCGCGCAGATGACAGTGTCTTGATCACAGACACAGAATTAAAACTGTAGAAAATCCTAGACAAGGTAGCAAAGGAGAGCGGTAAAATAGAACTATCCATCAATCGCAAGAAGAGATAATTTATGGCTGTTAGAAAGACGAAGTGTCCAAGTTGCGAGCTAAGAATTTGAGACGTCAAAAAATCAAGCAAGTAAAAAAAAAAGGGGGAAGTGTTTTAACAGACGACAGAAAATATGACACGGAATTCTGATGGAGCATAAGAATAGCGAATGATTATATACATAAAGCTAAACAGAATCTTAAGAAATAGGAAAATTCCGTTAAAAGACAAAAGAGTACTGAACTTGTACGCAATATCCATACTCCTAGATTAAAATTAATACTGGAAAATTGCTCACAGAGTCAAAGGGAGGCTTGAAGCTGCAGACATGTTTTACCAAAAATACTATGAAGGGGATATATGAGCAACGAAGCTGTTTGGAAGGAAATGAAAACAAAAAGGACGCTTATTGAGGAATCGGAGAGCCGAGTTCGGATTCCAGTCGAATCCATTACATTCACTTACGCGGTAATACCCTTGGGAAAGGTATGAATCCTCTTCTTCTCCCCACCACCAGCTATGGGTAACAAGTAGGACAGACCGGTTTCTATAGCCTTAGATGGCAACTGGTCTACGGCAAAAAAAAATGACAATCTACCGCGGGAAAAAATGTACCTCGTCAGTCATGTATCGAAAGATACATGATCGCCTAAGCGCGTATCACGCATGTCACATAACTGACTAAATATTTAAACAATTTAAGAATTTTGATTATATTCTTATATGAATCCTCTTCTTCTCCTTCCAGTTATGGGTAAATAGCAGAACAGACGGTGTTCTTTAGCATTGGATGGCAACTGGTCTACCGAAGAAAGAAATGGCAACCTAGTGCGGGAAAAAAAACCTGCGTTGTAAGTCATGTATCCTAAGTACGTATCACGGATGGCACATAACTGACTGGATATTTAAGATGAGAAAGATACAGTTGAAATATCTTGAACACATAATGGGGAAGGAAGATTTCTGAATTTGACACTCAAAGGACATTGAAAGTAAGAAATGTAGAGGGAAAAGGGGGTTGACTAACTAACAAACTTGTAAAAATGGATGGCGGAACAGGGTCTGGGAAAAACACTGGTTAGGGCTGCAAAAAGACAGGTAGCTGTGAAGAGTCCAGAAAAGACACGACACTTAGAAGAAGAACAAGATCAAGATGAAGATGATCAAGAAAGGATAACAACATAAAGTTTGCGTAGAATTAGAAGCATACACATTTCCCTCATTTGCATTTTCTATCGCAAATGCAGACGCATAGTACAATTATCTCTATACTGCACGCAAAGGGAAGATGAATGGAGGTATAACGTCGCCATCCCTAGTGATGACTCCAAACACCAGGATTTTGACTGGATATGTCGTCCAACTGTTTCCAATTCCTCTCCACCCAAACACTCTGACATGATCGTATTAGAGCTACTGGCGTGAATGCCAAGCAGTACGGCATGCCGTTTCCAAGTTTCTGGCGGAGTGAATTGCATCATAGTGATCTTTTTCTCACAGGCGGTCCCCAACTGAAACTGCTATAATGTGCAGTCAACCAAATCTTAAAACTAACAACGCGCATGCGCGAAATAAAAAATAAATATGGCGACAATTTAACCATCATACCCTGTATATATTTCAACATTTTAAGAGAAACATTTACAAGACATTACGACATCTTAAGACATATATATATATATATATATATATATATATATATATATATATATATATATATATATATATATATATATATGTGTGTGTGTGTGTGTGTGTGTGTGTGAAAAGTGTATATAAATATAAATAAATATATATATGTATAATTATTTATATATTATATGCGCGGTACTTATTAGAAAGCGCTCAATATCAGACACAGAGCTAACATATTTGGTTGGATAGATGTGAGTTTGTGTCCCTGGGTTTCACGCTTTAGCGATCGTCAGACAAACTGATTAATGTTTTAAAAACACCCATATACATACATGTGTCATAGCCGAAACTGTCCACATACGTTTATATATGTATGAGTCCCGACGGACGACCAAGTATGTATATGTGTCTGCATATATCGATGTTTGCGTTAGTACGCTGAATGACAAAACGACGAAATTTCCCCCACCACTTCCACAATAACACCAATACACGCAATCTACATAAACCCAAATTTTTTAAAACATTAATCATTTAAAACATGACGATCGCTAAAGCGTGAAACCCAGGGTCACAAACTCACATCTATCAACCAAATATATATATATATATATATATATATATATATATATATATATATATATATATATATATATATTATTTTCTAAATTTGAATACATTGTAAAATGACTTCTTCACGAATAAAAAGAATTTAATCAAGAGATTTCTATTTCGAATTCAATAAAATATTTCCGTCTACTTGTCTGTCATGTAGTTTCATCATTATCTTTATTTTGATTATTTTCAATCAGAAGGATGCCCACATGATATTACAACGATACGGCTACTATGCTTTTCGGCCTACATCAGATATCTGTCGATCCTTATTTTTAAAATCATTTCAACTCAAGCAAAGCGATAAAAGCACCTAGCTGAGGAAACGTTATTGTATAGAAAGGGATAATAAAAAAAAATAACATGATCAATGTTGACAGAAAATGACGATTGACATCGCATTTAACTTTTTGAAAATCGTATTTAACGTACGAAGCTGCAAGAAAGTCCCGCAAGCGAGAACTGTTGGAGAGATGAAACTATCAGAATAGAACTTACTCTAGCTATTTAAACAGTAAAACGATGAGATCTACCTGCCAATCAAGTACTACGCTTAAATTTATGAAGTTGAGGTTCGAACGAGGAAAGTAATATTTATTTTGAATGCAAAAATGTGGCACAAGGCCAGAAGAGGGGATAGGTGAAGGCCGGTCTTCAATCTGTCTTATCTTAAAATTATCTAGCCACGATTTCTGACCCAGCACATTCTTGTTTACCATTCTTCAGTCACTATAATATCTCAGGTCTCTATACAGACCTAACTAGAACCCATTTGTACAATTCATCTGTGGCGGGAGACAGGAGAATAAAAATAAAAGAGGAAATCTCCCCAGAACATCTGCCATGAAAATAT